AGAAGTTCATTATAAGAAGGTATTACCTAATTAGAGACGTAAAATTTCCAGAAATTTTGAGAGGAAATTGAACGAATGTAATATTTATTTGCCAATCAAACCTATTTTATAGCTTTAATAATATAAAATACATCATTTATAACTTAGCATATAAAATTAAACTACTTAGCATATTTACAGAATTCAAAAGTATAGCTAACTTAATTTTCTACAAGCAAAATTACAAAGATAATAAATACTAGAGAGCTAAAAACTACGGCACCCTATTTTTGCTACCAAAGGGATAGGAAGCAAGAGTTGAAATAAAAAAAAACAAATTCTGTACAAGCAAAAGTACATGACTGGACAGAAACAGTTTCATAGTCACAACTGTAAGTTTAATAAGGCCAGATAATGAAACTGAAGCTCAAATACTTCGGCCACCAAATGAGAAGGGAGCACTCACTGGAGAAGACCCTGATGCTGGGAAAGACTGAAGGTCAAAGAAGACGGGGACGGCAAAGGATGAGATGGTTCAACAGTGTCATAGATGCAACGAACATGAAATTGAGCAAACGTCAGAGGACGGTGGAAGACCGGAAGGCCTGGCGGGAGCTGGTCCATGGGGTCGCGAAGAGTCGGACTCGACTGTGCGACTGAACAACAACAACAACAACAATCCTGTGCATCTGGGTATCCTGTCAACTCTGCACTGGCAACTGACAGGAGATTGCAAAGGGGGGGGGAAGCCATTTGGGGTTGTGCTGTGGTCTCTTCTGGCACAAAACTGGAAACACCACAGCTGCATCACTTCAGGATTCACCAAGCTGGCACTGAACATTTGCAGGTCCAGGCCAGGAGGTTCCCTGCCACAGCAAGGGGACCTGGGAACCCTATTTGGGTATCAGTGCTGGGCAGTTACAAAATATTGCTCTATTTTTACAGGGTTTTTATTAAGCCTCCTAATGAGAAATCACTGCTATAGGAAAGGCTGAGGGACCTGTGAATGTTCAGTATGGAGAAGAGGAGGTTGAGGGGCACTTGATTGTTCCCGTTATGTATTTAAAGAGCTGCCACTTAGAGGAGGGCAGGTAGCTGTTCCTGTTGGCAGCAGAGGATACGAATCACAATAATGGGTTAAAATTAGGGACGGGAAGGTACCGGCTGGATCTTAGGAAAAACTTTTTGAAAGGAAGAGTTGTGCAACAGTAGAACCAGCTGCCTAGGGAGGTGGTGAGCTCCCCCTCCCTGGCAGTCTTCAAACAGCGGCTGGACAAACACTTGTCAGGGATGTTCATTGAGCAGGGGGATGGACTAGATAGCCTGTATGGCCCCTTCCCACTCTGTGATTCTGTGATTCTACATAACCATTTATTGTATGGAAAACATTAGGCTGACATGGCAAAGATTACAGTATCCAAAAAAATGAGATTTAGATGACAATTTGATACTAACCAAGCACACAGAGGAGTTGGTGGCGGCGCTAGGATGATCCTTATTTATTCTTTTATCTACCACAAGTCACTGGCTTGTTAAAAGCAACAAACCCAGGCCATTACAATCAGTGTAAGGATTTCTACGGATTAAGTGGACACCACAGGTATGAAGAAGAATGCGATTCCGAAAGAGAACCCAAAAGAAAACAACCTCCACTGAGCAAGCTCTATATGGTAAAGGACGTTGAGTTGGTCTAAAGAATGAGGGGGCAACCAGAGAGACGGGCTTGCTCGTGTCTGCGTTTATGCTTCCCCAATGGTCTCCAGGTCCCCAGCTCAGTCATTCCAATAGCCATATTCACGGGCGGGCATCAAGAAGAAACAGGGTGATCCAAAGGCGCCCGGGGGGGGGGGGGGATCTGCAAACCAGAGAGACTCATTGTGCCAGCACCAAAAAACCCCCAGCATCTTGGTGAGGACTGAACTTGCTCAGGGACCTCAGAATATCAAGAGCAATTCAAAGGGGCCAATAAATATGTGGGAGGTGACTGACTGCTCATCACTTACACTGCTCCCCCTTTCTTCACAGGACCCAAGCTAGTCATTCTAAATAGGCTATGGATGCAATTACTTGTACTTTACAGCAGGCATACCTTTCCTTTGCTATTCAGGCATACAGTTTTGGACATTGTGGTATACAGAATTAATTTCAAATGTTTGCAAAAGTATTACATGTCACATGGATATTGATCCAGTGAGTTCATTCATTAAAGGATTTATAGTACATGGTAGATTTGGGTCTCTCTAGGGAGAAAAGTGGCATAGAAATGACCTAATTTTTTTTTTAAAGTTGGACAGGGCTATATAAGCAGTAAATTCTGAGTATCATCAGGACCAGCATGATGATAGACTATATAATTATGGGGTTTTAACATGTGGGAAGAATTTGGATGATAATGTTTAAATCTTCCAGAACAGACAGGAACCTGAATGGCAGTTCCTTTTCATATTCGGAGTTGCATCTTTAAGAAGTTTGTCCGTGAATGAATCTCTAATGTAAAGAGGTTTCTGCATCTTTGAAGGAATCCCTTACAAAGGAAGTTTTCTGCAAGAGAAATCATTTGCCAGCAACAGTGAAGCACTGAGGTTTCCCAGTAATTTTAAGATTTTTGTGGCTTCTTGGGGTGATCAAACAATATTCTTAACGTTCTTCTTTTATAGATGCACAAGATTTGGAATTTAAATTATTGCATGGATGTATGCAATTTTCACCTGTGAATGAACAATCATTAAGTTCCTGCAACTGATGGACAGATTAAAAACTGATAAATCACCAGGCCCAGATGGCATACATCCAAGAGTTCTGAAAGAACTCATGTGTGAACTTGCAGATCTCCTGACAATAACATGCAATCTATCATTAAAATCTGCCTTCATTCCTGAGGACTGGAAGGTAGCTAATGTAACCCCCATCTTTAAAGAAGGTTCCAGAGGGGATCCAGGAAATTACAGGCCAGTCAGTCTAACGATATCAGGGAAGTTGGTGGAATCTGTTATTAAAGATAGAATTAGTAGGCACATTGATTGACAAAAACTACTGAGGAAGAATCGGCATAGATTCTGTAAGGGAAGATCTTGTCTCACTAACCTGTTAGATTTCTTTGAGGGGGTGAACAAACATGTGGACAAGGGTGACCCAATAGATGTTGTTTACCTAGACTTCCACAAAGCTTTTGATAAAGTTCCTCATCAAAGGCTCCTAAGTAAACTCCATAGTAGTGGGATAAGAGAAAAAGTCCTCTTGTGGATTAAAAACTGGTTAATTACCAGGAAACAGAGAGCGGGTATGAATGGGCAGTTTTCACAGTGGAAGGTGGTAAGCAGTGGGGTACAGCAGGGCTCAGTACTAGGTTTGGTGTTTTCTAATTTGTTCATTAATTATTTGGGAGTTGTTCAGGGTGGTGAGAACAAGGGAGGACTGTGAGGCACTCCAGAGGGATCTTTCAAGGCTGAGTGAGTGGGCGTCAATGTGGCAAATGAAGTTCAATGTGGGCAAGTTGCTACCTGATGACTGACCAGGAGAGAGATCTTGGAGTTGTGGTAGATAACTCACTGAAAATGTCAACTCAGTGTGCAATGGCAATAAAAAAGGCCAACGCTATGCTGGGGATTATTGAGAACTGAAAACAAATCAGCCATTATCATAACGCCCCTGTTTATAAAAATGGTATAGCCTTATTCGGAATACTGTGTACAGTTCTGGTCACTGCACCTCAAAAAAGATATAGTATCAGAAAAAGGGCAGAAAAGGGCAACTAAAACAAATAAGGGGATGGAAAACTTTCCCTCTGAAGAAAGGTTAAAGAGGTTAGGGCTCTTTAGCTTGAAGAAACAACAACTGAGGGGTAACATGATAGAGGTTTACAAAATTATGCATGGGATTGAGAAGGCTGAGAAAGGAATACTTTTCTCCTTTTCTCACAATACAAGAGCATGTGGACACACAATCAAATTAATGAGCAGTAGTTTTAGAACTGATAAAAGGAAGTACTTCTTCACCCAAAGAGTAATTAACGTGGAATTCACTGCCACAGGAAGTGGTGGCAGCTGTAAGCATAGAAAGCTTCAAGAGGGGATTAGGTAAACACAAGTGGGGACCCGCAAGAAATTTGCGGGAGTGGCTATCCCATTCCCCCTCTGCTTCTTCTCCTCTCCCCCTATTTCTCTCACACTCTTTTCCTTCCTGCCACCTCTTTTCTTACTCACTCTCTCTCCCTCCCCTCCATGCCTGTCACTTCCTTTCTGCCCCCACCCCATCACTCTTTCTGACCCATCTCTCCCCCGGCCTCCCACCTACT